TTTCATTCTTTTTATTGGGTCTACATTTCATTTGTATTTAATCAGAAAGTTATAGCTAGGGACATATTTTAGGAATGGAGTTGTGATTCTGCACTGTCCTGGAGAAGCATTGTTATCCTGCTTTTTAAATTCAAATAGACTGCATAATGGGGAAAGTACCAGCTTTCCTACTGTTTCAAACTCTTCCACGCTAGGCCAAAGTTATGATATTCAAATCATTTAATTCTGAGAAAGGAGCTGCATTTTATCTTTCTTACACTTATGATTGTTAATCTATTGCAGGTATTTTCAGATTTGGAGCGTTCTGCTTGCCGAATGGTTCACCGCCAGGTATTGCCTTAAGTTTGAAGGGGACTTTTCTAATGTTATTTTTCAGAGGCTAGGTAAAATCAAGAATAGTTCCTTAATGAAAATTGCCAAAATAAAGACTGTCCCATGATCAACTAGAACCATTTTTTAGCTTTCAATTGTCAGTATCACTACTTCTGTTGCTCTGTCATTCTGTTGATCCCTTCCTCCTCATTTGAAGTGAAATTAAGAATTGTCACTGCAACTTGATGAATATGATGACTTGTTCTTCTCCTGTCTAGTTTTCTATGTAGTAAAAAAATAATTGAACTACAACCTTTGTCTTCTCAGATGAGATGCTAGAACAAAAAGTTTTTGATTTATAGTTAGGACATTTGAAAGAGCTTTATCATTTAATGGTCTGTGTCTCTAATGCACGTCCTGACTTTTTTTTTGCTTCAGCTTGGAATTTGGTCAATCCATACTATATATAACACTTCAAAATTGAACTAGCCTTTTCCTACAGATATGGTAATAATTATCTTTTGATGATTAAGATGAGGTGTCTGTTGAGATGTAGGTGGCCACCATTGCATGGTTTGAGGCTGATTCAGTTTGTGGTAGTCACTCAGTTGCAATTCCACTAGTGCTTGTTTTCCCTTATATTTGTCGGTTGATGCAATGTCTTCGTCAATACAAGGATACAAAGGAAAAGACTACACTTTTTAATGGTAATTATATTTTTTTTGTTACTTATTTAGTCTTTTCTTTCTATCATTAGTAGTTTTTCAGTAAGATGCTGAACATTTTACCTCATTTTCTTGATAAGTTGTTATCATTCTTGATCCTTCAGTTAACCAATAGGTAAGTGTATTTTTCAAATTTGATTTTGAACAATATTTGTGGAGCAAGAAGGCAACCCTTCAATTGAGGACTCCTTGTATCTGTAAAACTAATGGAAACAGCTTGCTGAGCCTTGACTCATGTGGAATTGGAGATGCATAACCCATACTTTTCCTCTTGTTTGTGAAAAGGAGATTTGAAATTGTGGCTATCCACTTAGTTGTTAGCATAACAAAAGTAGGTGAAAAATCTGCAAAAGAATACATTAAAGCATCAGTAAATATAGAACCAGATTTCTGAACCAGTAAGTTGTGCAACTTTTATGTCCAAAGAAATTTCGTAAATTTTGTGGTAAACACTTAAATAATTTCACCATATAATGTTGGCAATTGTGTAGCCATGAGTTTAGGTATTTTAATATAAAAGATGTGGTAACTGTATGCATGACATGACTATTCTTCATTCATTAATTTGTTGCTATTATGTTATTGTAACCACATTTTAATTTGATTTTCAGCATTAAAATATTCAACAGCAGTCCCTGTGATTTTTCTTTCGGCCCTTAAATATCATGTTGAACATGATAGGTGGACATCCATTTATCGTCCGCTCTGGCTTCTCTCAAGTCTGATGAACTCGCTCTATTCATTTTATTGGGATGTAACTCGTGATTGGGACTTGAGGTATGTTAATGTGTTCCCTTTTTCTTACAAATAGCTCTACTGCATCTGGCTTGTGCCTGGTCACTGAAGCCTCTCTTGCATCCCTTTGTAAAGTTTATAGTAACTAATGGCATGTGTATCACTGCAACTTAAGAATGTGTAGATATTTTCCTTAGAGGCCATTGATAAATTTTTATATGCATCATATGCTATGTTGAAAATGAGAGAACTATTTTGTATGAAATACTCCATCGCTGCTTAGAATTTCTAACTGTTAATGAGAGCAGTTTTTTCCTTTTAGCTTTTTTATTTTCACTTACTGAATTCATACCAGAATATGCTACACCACCTATACATTTTTTCATGGTATGCATGATAATATGTTTTTTTTCCATTTCCTTTTTCTGTCAGTGGCTTTTCTAAGATATTCAAGTTCAACAGACCAAATCTCCTTTCAAACCTGTTACATGGTCGGCAGTGGGTATGGACTTTAGTTGTCTAAGTTCATTTATGAAATTTCCTTATATGGTTTATAGCAAATCCTTATTATTTCTATTGAGTGTGGTTGCAGGTTTATTTTTGGGTTATCGGAAGCAATCTGATCCTGCGTTGTACATGGACATACAAACTATCTGCTCATCTCCGCCACAATTACCTGACTGTGTTTTCAATCACCGCGTTGGAGATGTTCCGGCGCTTCCAATGGATGTTCTTTCGAGTAGAAAATGAATGGAATAAGATTACAAAGTCTAACTTTCAGCTTCCCATGAGTGAAATCCCGAGGGAGGATGAAAAATTACTAGGTTCAACCAATCACAATGTATAGAGTATACAAGTCTCCCACATTACAATAGCATGAGATTAGATTCATTCTTTGCGCAGGGGCATCATATATGACATATCTCATCCCAAAAGGCAGAGGTGCTCGTTTTGGTAGCTTCCTGCGAGGGACAAATTTTGAGTTTCAGTTAAGACATGCCTTTGAGTTGGATGTATAATGTGAGTCATATTAAAGTTAAATTTAGGGGACCCTCAAACACTAGTGAGGACTCAGTAAATGTCTTTGTCTTTAAGACTGTTGGCAAGTTGGAATTGAAATGATACCACACTCGGACAATTAGAGGTTAAAAAGGCGACCACGTTTTAAAGTCCACTAATCTTGAATGCTCAATTGAAAATTTTGAGCACTTTTTTTGATAATTTAATTGTGTTAATTTATCTTGTATCTTTAGAGTACAGAATAAAAAGTTAATATTAAGTTACAATTATAA